GAATTCTCAGAAAGGCAACATTTTCTTGTCAAGGGGCAGGGGTAGTCTAGCATTATTGGAATTAATTATGTGACTAGTATAGGCTTTGCAGGTGGGATTTATACTTGCCTTATTGGGAAAAGATCTTTAGAAGTGAATGGAATCATCACATTGTCATTTGTTAAACAACGGCTTTTGCATGTCCTATGCAACCCATTTGATGGGCGACGCACGACGGGCGACGGGCGACGGGCGACGCACGACGGGCGACGGACGACGCACGACGGGCGACGCACGACGGGCGACGCACGGCGGAAAATGGCACGTTTGGAACTGGTAAATGGCAGAATTGGGACACAACAAAAAGCAAAATGCGACGGACGACGGGCGACGGCAGATATGGAATTCCATAGACAGAGGCTTTCGGTGTGTGGTTTGGCGGGACACATTCGGTATGAGTTGGGGGTCTGTGTGGGTAGAATGTGCGGGTTACGTTGTGCGACTGAAATTAGGATTGACTCAGAGGAAGTGTGCTTCGGAGTTGCGGTTCAAGGGCATGTTGCAGCATAGAGCAACAGGGTCGCGCGGGGAATGCAATGCGCCGTGTACAATCCGTATAATCTACATGTATGTGTAGATGGTCATTGCGCGGTCGCTGTGGGGTAAGTGGTGTGTGTAGTAGCTTGTACACTGTAATCTACACGTACTTGCACATCGGGGAACACTTTGCGGGAGCGTAACAATACCCTCATTGACGTGCTTGTCTTACTTTTCAATCCATATTTTTCATTTGGATTCCCTAGCCTCACCCTACCAATCTTGGTGACATCTGAACTATACTCATCTCTATCCGACGTTTGTCATCGTCGCCCCCCGTCTTAAACATCGTTTACTACATTCATTTTATATTCCTCTCCAGCGTGGATAATCTCTCTTTACCTCTGGAAAATAGACTTCCGTTCAAAGCTTTTGTCGCACTAGTGACAAGCATAGGGCTTGACTGAAGACAAAGCACTCATGCTGAATCGTTAAAGGGACCGTGAAATTGAATTATTTTGCTAAATTTTACTGAAACCATTGAGAGTTGCACTGATTTGTGCACAAAGAATTTCTTGATTTTTTCTAACACTGCCATCATCGATTTGGTAATTTATTGTTGTGTAAGTATATGGTAACAAGTTGAGGAGCAACTTCTTCTCAGAAATGATTTGAAATAGCAAATTTGGAATTCACAATTTGAACATGAAAAATGCAAACTGAGCAGTGTCTTCCTTGGCTTACATCAAGGCAAAAGGGCCCTCACTTGTCTGGAAATGTTCAATTTTGAATGTTTAAAAAGTGCACCTTAAAGTTAACCTAACTCAAAATAAGAGTCCATATAGTCCATTTACATAAAAAAAGAGTACAGACATGTACAAAAAGTGTACTTTCCTTTAGAGCTTAAAAAAGGTTCATCTCCAAATGAGAATCAAACGGGTGTTTTAAGGAAGGAAGAGCAAAATGAAAAAAAAAGTAAAAGAAGCAACAAATTTGGCATCAAATGAGATGCCACTATCCATTCGAAATATAAGCGAAGAATGAATTTTACAGGTCTGCGTTTGCCCCCAACACCTTCGTGCAAACATTGAAAGTGATTGTCATAGAAATGTTTTTTAGATTCTAGGAAAATTTGTAATTACATATAAATGACCTCTTTAAATGTTCAAATGCAAAAACAAAAAGTTAATTATTAATCAGTATTTGCAAATATATGCAAAAACTCGAAAGGTAAACAAAAATGTTTATATCTTAAGGTGAAGATTGCTAGATCAACTGTACATTACTAAGGTTCTGTCTGAAACCAAAATTTAGCTACGTAACTTCAATAAATAACAAAAAAACTATAAAGAAACTAACTAGATGCTTAGGCCTATAAATGACTTATAAAAAGAACGAAGATATTAAACGGAACGGGATTTGAACCCGTGACCTCCGGAATACCGTACCAGTTCTCTACCAACTGAGCTATCCAACCCTGTGTCGGTGGCTCTTCCCATTTGTCAATAACTTTGTTCGAGGGGGGGGGGCTGGCCAGAAGTTTTTAAGGCGCTAGCTAGAAGCCACGTAACCTCAATATTGAGAAAACTAAGCAAAATGTAAACTAAAAGGAAAATTAAACACTCAGTAAAACTGGCAGTCAATAATGAATAGTGCATCTAGAAGCTTGAGAAGAACTTGCTAAGTTCGAAACGTCAGGACATCTTACGCTCCACTGCTTCGATTTAATTTCAATGCATAGAGCTGTAGCAGGTAGTTAAGCACTGCTAACTAAATGCAAGAGAGGTTTTATCTTACAAGCAATTCCTAAACATTGAAAAGCAATCCACAAGGCGATTAGTTTACTATTAAAGTTCAAATGCCTGCAGGCCCAAGCTTCAATTTCAGTCAATTCCTGCAGCTACATCTTGCTATAATGTTAAGAAACTTTTGACAAATTTTGGAAAATTATCTTAAGTATTTGACATGGAATTGAATTACTTTCTCCGTTTTTAGCTCTGCTGACCCTTCATGAGTGTTTTTCACAACTCAACCTTCTCCACTCCCATTTTCCCAGAAAGGTTTTGCTGTTTGTTTATTTACTTTGCTGAACTCTGCACTTAAGATGCCCTGCAGACTGTTTCCAAATTGATATGCAAAGGTTTCAAGGGTTTCGATGAAATATTCATAGAGGGAATGGGGTCTGGTTCCCCTTTCACCAAGCTCAGACGGAAACGTCTGAGGATTCTGGCTGTGAATACCTTTATCTCGTTCATGGCGAACTGTTGACCAATGCAGTTTCTCGACCCTGCAGAGAATGGCGAGTACGAGAAAGGGTCCATCTTGGCGATATTTTGAGGCAGGAAGCGAGACGGCTTGTACTCCATGTGATCGTCACCCCAGACAGTCGGGTTGTGGTGGAGCTGATGGAAGCCAATTCCAACCAAGGTTCCTTCGGGGATTGTGAAGCCGTCTACCGTGTATGGAGCAGTTAGCGTACGAACGAACAAGGGCCCTGCAGTCATCATTCGCATAGACTCTTTTATAGCCATGGTCATGTACTCGAACTGACTGAGGTCCTTGCTGCAACGGAATATTTGAACAAAAATGAGCATTGTGTGAAATTTGGTATTAGCTTTAGCACTGTCGTTTTTAGGCGAAGCCAAAAAGTGTTACTTAATACCCTGTGCTGCAAGGGCCTCATTTGTTTTAAATGTTGAGTGTTAATAACGTCATCACTGATCACCCCATTATTCTTGTATTGTAGACCCTGCAATCCCTTCTAAATTGATCAGTGGTTGTCCTCCTTTCCCTGCAAATAAAAATGCGCAGACAAAAGGTCACAGTAGGGTCAGGATACCCTTTTTCCAGTCAAGGGGGGGGGGCTCAACGGCCAAGCCATTCAACAATCAATTGACCACACAATGGAACAACTCAGCTGTCTAGAAATATCAGAGTGACCGAACATTGATATAAGACTCGCCCGCGCCCTGGCTTGCCCAGGCACCGTCTGCGTAAACAATCCCTTCTTGCCACGTGGCTGAGATATTTACATACAATCCTATGGGACTTGGCCAGAGGCCGGCTCTGAGTAGTATTTTCATCAGCTGAGGGGAAGTCCCCTGTGAATGATGACTAAAGTAGACTTTTCAGCGTGAACAGAGGTAGGAATTTACGGAAGGTGTTTGCAATTGGTTGTATTTTTTTCAATGAAGTAATTAGAAAAATGAGGAACCACAGTTGACGCTCTAGGCTCTGCGCAGAGTAGAACCAAAGCCACTCAAAAAATGTAGAACACCCCAGAGAAGAAAACGGCCAATCTAGAAATCTACGGCTGTGCAAATGCAGAACAGAGGCTTTTGGCTCCATTTTTGAAATGTTGAGGATAAAGCTATCTAAGACATGCAAGTATTATGAAAGAGTAATGTAATAGCGTCTTTTTGGCATTCGGAAGACATGCATTACAATCTGTAAACATTGTAAGAGTACGTCATGATGTTTAGACAAACATTTTTGAGAATCTCTACTATCAATTAATAATGTCTAGACAAGAAGTTAGAAGGCATATTTTCAAACTTCAATAAAAATGTATAAAAAGAAAGAATGAGGTTCTATCCGCCTACAAAATTGAATGAGGATTGGTCTTTGGATACTTTTTAAATCAAGGTCTTATGTTACTGCAAAATGCTTGAAACGTACACATTTACGTGATTTACCAATGGTCTTGTAAAATGGATTTTGAAGGGCCTCTGCGATTCGTGAAGAAGACACGTCGACCTGAATGCTAAGATTATTTACTTATTCATCTAAATTCACCTGATGATGTCATCAAGACCTTACACCCTTCTGCAGTCAGACTACGGTTCTGAAACCGCTAGTCTTACTTGTTTATTTATTTATTTTTTTGCCTTTTTGGTTTGGGTCTTGTACAATGCTACGTTAGCAGGAAGAGGGGACAAATGGGTGGGGGAGACGGTAGGAGAACGATGAAAAGGATGAAAAAGAGTAAGGAAAAGAGAAAGGAAAAACAATTAGGAGGAGAGGGAAGTTTTCTGCACTTTCAAGAAGGAAAAGAAGATCAAGAATGCTTCAATGCAAGTCCGTTCATGATTGACCGACAGAGTGAGTAACAACCAACCCATTTGTTGCACAGTTTAGCCTCTGTGGTGACCCTTCATTCTGCAAACATTTCTACGTGTGCACCCAGATTAACATTCTGGTGAAAGCACCAGCGCATTAGAAAAACGAAACTACTCACAAAGTAATCCTTTCGGAGTCTCTTCCAGCAAGCATCTTGTCCACCTCTTCCCTGATTCTGGTCTGGTGTTCAGGATACTTAGACAGAAAGTACAGAAACCAGGTCATGAAAGTAGCCGTGGTCTCGTGGCCGGCGAAAAGGAAAGTGTTGACCTCGTCTACCATCTCCTTTACGGTGAGTCCGCTGCCCTCTTCGTCTCTGGCCATGACAAGCGTGTCCAGGAAATCACGAGGCTTGGTGATGGGGTTACCTCCTTCAGCCTGCATCGGGAGTAGAAATTCTTCAGCTCGTTATCATGTAAATCAGTTCAACATTTAACAGGGGAAGAAAAGAAAAAACTACTACAACATCGTCAGATTTAACGCTAGTGTCATATGAAATTCGAAGTCTTCTTCTTCTTCGAGTTGGGTCTCTAATTTCTGTATGTCACTCTCATGGGCGGAAATCCCGGGGGTTACAGGTCCCTGAGGTACAAATTAACAGGAGGTTTTTGCATTTCGCCGAAAAAAGTTTTTAATTACGTAATTAGAAAAAATTGGATCCCCAGTGTGGCAACTCTGCCCGCCGCCAGGTTAAGCAAAACAAAATACTACAGGAATTGATGGAACGAGGATTTTCCGTTTTTAGCTTTTATAAATGGAATGAGATAATAAACAGGACGTGCACAAAAAGTGTAAATTAAGGTCCCCCACGATCGAGGAGAGATTTTCACTCTTGCGACTTCAGTGCTTGCTTTATATTTGAATTTTACTGTACTGGGAATTTCGGGCAATTCAGCTCGATCTTGAGATCACAAACTACACAGATGCAGTTGTGAATCATACTGCAAATGAAACCGAGAATCTCAGCCTGGGACATGAGAACATCAGAGCTACAACGGACTGCAACAGAAGTGACATGTTTCTATTGAGGTCTTCCACTACATTTACCTTTTGCAGTATTTCTTTCTTTCGATCTTCGACCAGTTTTTTGGCAAAGTTGTGGAGAAACTTGATATTACTCTTATACTCGGCATAGTTGGAACTGAGCCGAAAGATCCAGGGGTTAAGAAGAAGCCGACTGCCATACTGCCGTTTCTGGATGAAACGCAACAAGGTTTCACATGCCGACAGAACACTCATCTCTTTTTCATGACCTACTGTCCTTATCTAAAACAGAGTGAAAGCACACACGTGGAAAGAAAAATCGTGTCAAATAATGACTGAGGTCTGAAAAGCTATTGCCACTAAGAGCACGAGCAGGGGTCGAAATTAACCTGTTTTCCTGGTAGCCAGCAGGACCAGTGAAAATTTTGAAGTACTGGTCTTGCTGGCTACCAGGAAAACAGGTTAATTTCGACCCCTGCTCGTGCTCTTAGTGGCAATAGCTTTTTGCTACAGAAAGTTTGTTGGTTCCATACCAGAACCGCACACGCGGCCGCTTGAGCAATCCTTTTTATGGCGCAGGCTGCGACAAATTGTTTTTTTTTTTAGTTTGCCCGATGGGGCAGGCCATGCCATAAATTTGCTTGCTCAAATAAGATCAACACTTGCCCAACATTTATCAGAATCCACGATAATTATAGTTATTTAACTAAGACCTACTGCAATACACGCAGTCTTTTGTTAGGCCCCCAAACAGTTGTGCTTTGCCTAAAAAAAAAGAAATGGGTCGGTCAGTCAGAAATGTTTTTGTTTTAGGGGCAACTTTTTGTGCTGATTGAATGGCATCGATGGGGACGACAGCTTCCAAAATTATCTCCAAAAGTGATTACCACCTGTCTTAATCTATGTAACAATTTTTACATTCGACAATTTACAAGAAAACTATAGACAATTCACACAGTGCTACTCATGCAATCGCAACAGAAAACTGGCCAACAATGTCCATGTATCACGTGGTTAGCATGCGTGATGCATTCAAACTAGCGGGTGATAAACCTTGAGCCGGAGCCACAAGCAGAGCAACCTCAAATTAAACTCATGAATGCAGAAAATACATGCATAAATAAGAGACCAGGTTATGTGAATTAACTTGCAGAAAACCTCTTGCAACATCGATGTCTTTTCGACCTGCAGCCTTAGGGTTGCATCCGTGACGTGTACGGCCGATGTAGAGTGGACATGTACAGTACAGACTGGTTCTGGTTCCTATATTTTCATCACGCATTCTTTTGTATGGGTGCGGCGCGGCGGGAACCAGAGCAGCTTCGGTTAATGCATTGAGCTTTGGGCACGTGTTTTCACCACTTCGATAGCGAAACGTGAATGGAAACTCGTGAAAATATTTTTTTTTTCTTAAAACAAGTATTTAACGTGAAGAAAGGTTATTGAAAGATATTTGTGAAGACAGAAAGGACATCAGATTTCAACTGGCCCACCGGACCACCAGTTTTATCAGATCAGCTGGCCCGCCGACTGTTTTACTAGCCTCGGGCCAGCGGACCACCGTTAACTTAAGTTTCGACCCCTGAGCACGAGGAGCTGATAAAACAACTTCTCAAATGCCAAAACTTTTAAGAACTTTCTAGAACTAAGTATGCTTCTGAGATGAAGGGTAGCTGAAATCGATTTATTTAAATA